GATGATTTAATTATCGGCAGAGAGCTTGAATTGGGTAGTTATTAGGAGAAAATACGAAATTAAGATGTGTGCGATTGAAGTCCCATGAATGAACAGAGTGGGTATTCAATGGGAGATGTAGCAGGAGGGAGTGAGTGAAAGGAAGGAGGCCAAGGGTGACAAATGACTGGATGAATAATAGGATTGATCATTAAAGTTGAATGTTCATGTAGTTCAACAGCGACGCCAGATGTTAGAAGTTGCCCTCGGGATGCACCTCGGCTTCCCCAATCGAGTTCTGAAGGTCGAAGATATGCCCTGAGTCCAACAGGACACTTACCAACTGATTGAAAGCCTCATGTCAATTGAGAGAAAAAATCAACTAGGCCGGGGCTTAAGCCCAAGCCCGACCCGACCCGAACAACACAAAATACCATTCACACTCTCGTAATTATGTACCTTACTTATCTAGAATCTGATCTCAGACCTTTGCTCATCGATGTTTTCGCGGAAGGACCACCGAGGAAAATCCGCGCGCACGTGCGGGGCGGAACATGCCGTCCGCGCAAAACATGTTGACAAGATCAAATTGCCAAAATCGCGCGCGGGGAGGCCAAAAAAGGCAAATTTGCAGGGCGGGAATAAAAGTGCATCCGGACTGCCATACACATCTACTGGGTACCAGGTGACATGTTGAGGTTAAGTTGACATCTTGTACCCTCAATTGGATGACAATGTTGTTGCCGGCTCGTGAGTCGGATTAATGCCCCCATGTGCTTCCCTGTCACCTAATAAGGGCCTCATTTGAAATTCAATATTTTGTGGTTCATGAACTCCCCTATGTTACATAGCGTTGAACCTAGGGGTCTCCTCTGGTGATTTACACGTAGATCCTCATGATGTACGCACAGACACTTAAACTGAGCAGAGGGCAAGATTCCTGGTCAAACACTCAAGGGGCCCGGATTGAGGGCCGTCAGGTGATGCCTGTACAAACGCCAAATGATCCCTTTCCCATCTGGTGAATATATTGAGGCCATAACAGATTCTGCTTGTTGTTCCCTTGTCACAAAATCTACTCAATTTGTGGTGCTTGTGCCAGGTCAAATCACAGACATTGCAGAGACATTGCAGAGACATTAGGAACCCTGACAGCATAGTGCTGGCAGGTGCCTCAACAATATAGCTTAAGCGAGTGGAGTCGGAGTCTATGACCACCTTCGTCACTTCGTCAGACCAGCTAATTTTGAGTAACTTCGTCACCTCAGATAAATTTGGCCCATCTGACTGATTGTTCGTCACTTCTGTGAATATTCGTCGCTTCAACTCGGCACCTTCAAGACCCCGGAACGTCGGCCATCATCATGCTTGATCTCAACCTCACAAGGCCTGGCATGTTTTTTTATATAGATACCTTACCCGAACACTAACCACTAACCCTAACCACTAACCACTAACCTCTAACCTCTAACCGCTAACCTCTAACCGCTAACCTCTAACCTCTAACCGCTAACCTCCGACCACTAACCGCTAACCGCTAACCCTAACCACCTAACCGGCCGACGTCGGCACACCGCTGATTCCGTGATGTGCCGACAAGGCCTCGTGCTGGGAAAGTGACGAACTTTGGCCAAAAATTGATGAACTCACGAACTTTCACAGAATGCCATCAAAGTGACTATCTTTCCCTCATTTAAGCGAAGTGACGAAGTGATGAAGGTGGCGCGGACTCGTGGAGTCGGGACGGAGGTGAAAGTAACATTGATCAAGGCCACATTTCCACCAGACATCAATGTGCAAGGTCTCCACCAGCCTGAGGATGGTTTATCCTCTGTCCAGACTAGACAACAAATGAACTTGAACTTTCAAGTTTGCTGATCGAGAGGTCAGGTGACCATGTCCAGGCCTTCGGGGATCTCAGGGATCTAGAAAATGCAAGGATGTAAATTGACTCAAAGTATGAAGATGTGAGCAAAATATGGCAGATGTGAACCCAGAATGCAGAGGTTGTGAGCTAAGGAGTGAGCAGTTGTGGCCATGGATACACCAGTTGCGACCATCCTACCACATAGTTGCAACCACACAGTTGCGACCATTAATTGAGTCGGATGTAACCCATGGACTGAAGTTGTTACCATCTTTAAAAATGGTGTAGTTGTAATAAAAAAACCCTGTTTCCAACCAGATGTATGTATTTATGAATTTTTGGACAGTATATATGCCATACAAACAGCTGTTAACCAAGGTTTGACTCCCCGTGTCTGCATGTTACGTTCTTGAAAGTTTTTCAATTCGAAGTCCCCCAGAAGTGGGCCTGGTAAAATGTAATTCATGGAATTAAGAAAGATGTCTCCATGATCCAAGCTGTAAACAGGTTTTCAATTCTGCTGTAAATTGCGGATCAGAACCATGAGGTGTAATCCAAAACCCTGCTTTCAACTGTAAGTTGTAAGCAATTATTTTTTGCATGCTATATGTGCCATACAAAATTCAAGTAATTTTTGCACATGATCCAATACCAAAGTAAAAAGCACCTTTCGGCCAGAGCACGTAGATGCGGGGAGTCGAACCCCTATTGACTGTTTGCAATGTGCCACTCAAGCTCAGGCTAATTGTGACAGTCGTGTTCCGTACACCACATCCGCATCCCCCTCGTGTGTCAACCTTGCATAAGTTAGCACAAATCTGAGGCACTATTTGAACCACGAGCCAAATAAGCAATTTTTTCTGGCACATGCAGACGTGGGGAGTCAAACCCCGATTGACTGTTGGCATCGATAGCTGCACTAACGGCAACAGTTGTGTTCCGTACACAACATCCGCTTCCCCCTCTCATTTCAATCCTGAATAACTCAGTGAAAAACTGAGGAGCTATTTGAACTATGGCAAAAAATGGACTCTCAATAACATTTCAACATGCGGACACGGGGAGTCGAACCCGATTGACTGTTTGCATTGATAACAACCCCTCCAACGGCAACAGTTGTGTTCTGTACACCACATCTACTTCCTCCTCTTATTTCAATCCTGAATAAATAAGAAAACTTTGAGGGCCTTTCCAATGAGAGGATGGGGGAAAATATGATGCAGTACATAACCAGGTAGATGCGGGGAGTCGAACCCCCATTTACTATTTGCATATATAACTGCCAATGCTTCTTTTACAATGATAGCAGGTGTGTTCCGTACACCACATCCACTTCCCCCTCATTTCAATCCTGAATAAGTTCGCAAAAATGAAATATGAGGCGCTAGGTGAAAAAAAGGACTTACAGCCATTGGCAGTACCGAGGGCACAGTTGAAAAAATTACCGGTTTGGGATGTTTTCAAAGAATTACCTGTAACTCGGTCAGTTCCTCATGGATTTGGATGAAACCATGCTAGATAATTTGGGCTAATTCATACGGAATTAGTGATAGAGAGAAACCTGTGAAAATATTCCATATTGGATGATGTAGGATTTTAGGCTACTTTCGAGATAAATGCCATCTGGCGAGGTCCAGGCATGTGCAAACAACATGGTGTTTTGCAACAGACGGCCTACATAGACTTAGAAACATGTCATAGAGTCAGAACTTTGAATAATTCAGTCTGTGATGCTTGCAGTCCGGTCGGGATAACAGGCAACCTAGCAGGATCTGAAATATTGCAGAGATTCAATCAAACACGAGATCTTATGTACTTTTGGCTCTATTACATATTTCAGAATGTTAACAAGTCCTCCCTAGCCAAAATTCAGACCAGTAGGAAATTAATTGGGCATGCCAAATCAGATTCATCCCCAAAAAGCCTAAAAAAGCCAGATCATCCAATATGAGACATTTTTACAAGATCCTTTCTATCAATAATTCCGTATGAATTAGCCCGAATTATCTAGCATGGTTTCATCCAAATCCATGAAGAACTGACCGAGTTGCAAGTAATTCTTTGAAAACATCCCAAACCAGTAACTTTTTCAACTGCGCCCTCGGTACTGCCAATGGCTGTAAATGCAATTGATTACAACAATGATGCCATTCCCGTGCCGAAATCCATAAACGGAATGTGGTCGAATTTTTCACATCGGAGGCCATTGTGTGCCTAACTTGGTCCCTCAGCCAAACAATGGAGTAAGAACCATTTCCTTAGAGGCCTGATGAAGAAAAAAGTTAATAATACCTCTACATTTGTTTTGATGAAAGAGTGCATCGAACATGACAGTTTCAACCGTTTATTTAGGTAATTCAGGGGAAAGCGCTCCAGATCGTAGGTTCGAATCTAGCAGACATTATCTGAAGCCATACTACTGAGGATTGAATTCAGCTTTGGGAAAAGCATGCCGAGATATGCCGTGAACCGAACTGATCGCAAATCAGATCCAAACAAATTCAATGTTGATAAGACGTAAGCCGCCCCCGACAGATGCAATCCAAATGTGATAGATGTCACCCAACGCAAAGATGTCAGCCAACACAGAAGTAGTCACTCATCTGCTGAATTCTGATGTAAGTTGTGTTCAAAAACCCTGCAAAATTCAGGTAAGTTTTGTACACTATATCGCCCATAAATCTGAAACAATTTTTTTCTGGCCTCTTGGATGAAAAGCCTTCTGAATTTTGCTAATTTATTCAGGGTTGAAATGAGAGGAGGAAGCGGGTGTGGTGTACGGAACATGACTGTTGCGTTGCCATCAGGCAGGCTTTCTGAGTGATAATGCAGACAGTAAACCGGGGTTCGACTCCCCGGATCTGCCTGGGTGATAAATGCAAAAGAATTTTTTCCCCATCCTCTTGGTTTGAATGGCTTTCAGATTTGTGCTACTTATTCAGGGTTGAAATAAGATTAGGGAGCAGGTGTGGTGTGCGTAACACGACTGTTGCCATTGCAGACTACTCAGAGTAATAATGCGAACAGTAAACTGGGGTTCGACTCCCCGGATCTGCCTGGGTGATAAATGCAAAAGTTTTTTTTCCCCATCCTCTTGGTTTGAAAAGCCTTCAGATTCATGCTAACTTATTCAGGATTGAAATGAGACGGGGAAGCGGATGTGGTGTACGGAACACTACTGTTATGATTGAAAAAGAATGTTGCAACACAAACAGTAAACCGGGGTTCGACTCCCCGTGTCTGCATTGCTATGTTCTTCCAATTTTTTTTTTAAACGGTAGGTCAAATGGTTTTCAGATTTGTGCCAACTTGGTCAGGATTTGAAATGAGAGGAGGAAGCGGATGTTGTGTACATTGTAAAAGTAGCAGTATCAATGCAAACAGTAAACCGGGGTTCGACTCCCCACATCCGCCTTCTTATGAACCAAGAATTTTTTTTCACCATCCTCTTGGTTTGAGCTATCAGATTCATGACAACTTATTCAGGGTTGAAATAAGAGGAGGAAGGGGATGTTGTGTACGGAACACAGCTGTCGCGATTGTTGCCGAAGTCGTAATGCAAACAGTAAACCGGGGTTCGACTCCCCGCATCCGCATACAGTGATATGCTTTCAATAGTCCTTTTTTCGCCACAGTTCAAATAGCACCTCCGTCTTTCGCAGAGTTATTCAGGATTGAAATGAGAGGAGGGAGTGGACGTGGTGTACGGAACACAACTGTTGCCGTTGCAGCTGTCGGTATCGATGCAAACAGTAAACCGGGGTTCAACTCCCCACGTCCGCATGCGCCAGAGAAAATTCGCCTTTTTTTGGCTCGTGGTTCAAATGGCGCCTCAGATTTGTGCTGACTTATGCAGGGTTGACACACGAGGGGGATGCAGATGTGGTGTACGGAACACGACTGTCGCAATTAGCCTGAGTTTGAGAGGCACATTGCAAACAGTCAATCGGGGTTCGACTCCCCGCATCTGCGTGATCCTGCCAACAAGTTTTTTATTTTTATATTTTGGATCAATACTCCAGAAACACCCTAGTTACGCTGTTAGTTATTCTTTATGCGATTGGCGGGGAAACATGGGGATTATCAATGGGATGTTGCACATCCCACACCGGACCTATATCAAGTGGGCTGGGAGAACGGATGATGAGGCAAGAGCGATGGGCGCTGCACGAGTGAAACACAAAAATAAACAGAAAGATTATGTCGATGTGGCAAACGGTGCGGCAGAGGCAGAGCGAGTGGCCCACGGCGTATTTCGTCGGCGTCGTCGTTCATCGTTCATGATTGGTTGCTGTACAAGTTGCACATCAAAAGGAACGGATCCAAATCAGGAAAGTTACGTAATTGCTGATCCCTTCTCTGCTCCTCCTCTCTCCAACCATCGCCACCACAGCGCGGCGATCTCTTCTAGTCTTCCTGTGGCGAGGAACCGGCGTGAATCTTGCGAGATCACGGGCCACACAGACACACGCGTCTATCTGAAAGCGATAGCAAGCAAAAGCAAGCAAGAAGGAACGTTGGTCGATATACAAACGATTTAGTACGGGCGCTTGGTGGAGGTACGTGGCAGCATTATATGTATCTGGGCTGACTGTGGTACCTCACAGAATAATCAGGAATTAAATTGAAGCGATAGGAATTACCTGGGACCGCTGTGAGGATCATCCATACCTCGCCGAACGGAGCTGACTCACCCAACACCCGCCTCGATAGAATACACCTCGTCAGTCTTCTCACTTCCCACGTCGGTATATACTTAGGCCTTCCGCGCCAGGCCGTCACATTTTTAGAATTCGACTTTGACCACGAATTTCTCAAGTACCATCACACACATACTCACTCTGTACGCCCCTTCCTCCCATTTAACAATACTCCTCATCATGGCTGGCGCACGCTCACCAACGTTCCAGCGCAGAAACTAGGCACCCTGATCGGACCGCCCACGTGTCACCTCGATTTACTTAGCACATCCCCAACGACACCAACCCCAAACCCTACCCTACGCGCACGCGATGGCGTCCACGTCCTCCTCGTCGATGCGCAAATCCACCATGACTACGACGACGACATCCTCCTCGTCGCTCAACATCCCCGACTCGGGTGTGTCCAATCTGTTCTATTTCTGGCGGCCGACACCGTGCAGCCCGACCGACACTGACTTTCGCCTCAACGCAGGCCCCACCGAGCCGCTCTACCAAGTGAAGCTCCTCGCCGCGCTGCGCTCCGGCGACCCTGCGCTCATCCACCCCTTCCTCGCCGAGATCGGCAAGGAGAAGCGGCGGAGCGCCACCCCCAATGCGAGTAATGCGAATGTGGAGGAGCTAGATACGGGCGCGGCGGCGCTGCACCTCGCGATCCGGTGTGCTTCGCGTGCGTCTCCTCTCTTCCCTCCTCGCTGACATGAATTGTAATGCTGGCGTACACGTACAGCGCCAACGATCGCCCTCCTCCTCTCGCACCGTGCCATCTCGCCCAACGGCGTGCACCCGCCCGGCTCGGGGACGACGCCGCTGCATCTCGCGGCTGCGCTTGGTGCGTCTTGCTTCTCTGCTCCTCCCTCCTACTCTCCCTCCTGCTCTTCTCCACCTCTTCCCTGCCTCACTTCTTCCCTCGTCGCACCCCGTCATTCTCCTCTCCCCTTCCCTCCTCCCCTCCCTGCCTCCCCCTCTCCTGCCTCCTCTTCTCCTTCCGCATTCACTCAGCCTGCTCTTCTCGTATCCTCCACTAACCCCACTCCACAGGCCGCACGGACGTCGTCGCGCTCCTCCTCGAGCAGGACAGCATCGACGAGACGCGCGTCGACGGCGCGGGGCGCACGCCGAAAGAGACGGCGAAACGAAGGGAAGTTGTGCGCGTTTTTGATGGTGGGTTTTTGAGTTTTCTTTGGTGATTTTTAGGGGCGCGGGAATGGGGAGGTGCGCCTGATGGAGTGCGCGCGGTTGATGTGGACGCAAGTGCCGTCCAGCTACTCCAGAGGCGTGTTAGGTGCTCGGCGGGATATTCTCGCAGGGGCGCAGGCGTGCGTGTGGTCGTTTGTGGGCCGGGGGCGTTCTCAGCGACGCGCGATGCCGTGGATTGGTGTAACGAGCCGAGAGCCGGGCTGGGTTTGGCATCGGGGCATCTCGCGGGAACGGGGGCAGGTGTGCGCATGCTGGCACCTCCTGCTCGTTGTGCGCCTGCTGCTCGCGTGGTGGCGACGCACGACAATGGCTGGAGGCTCCTTCTTGAGGCGCAGAGCGGTCCGCAGGAGATGCACCTCAGACTAGGCCGCGGTGCGCGTGCACGTCGTTGCGGACGTTCTCCCCAGTGTTTTCCGTGCGCGATTTCAATGTCATGGCGGTCGACGCGATGCTGCGGTGCATGCGGGTGGGACAGTGTGCGCAGGCGCGGTCGTCGTTTGTGGCGGATGTGGAGGAGTGCGTTTGCAGTGCGCTTTTTTACGCAGGAAGGAAGATGGCGTGGATGGAGGAGTGGCGTGGATGCGTCGCGGTCGTCTGTGCATCGTTGGGGATGGGGGGTCTAATAGAGGCTGCGAGCGATGCAGTCGGGTGGTGGGGGATCTGCTTGCGGCTGTTCAAGGGGCAGAGGGACACGTTTGGCGACGGACGGTCGTTAGGGTGGGGTGTGGCACGGGCGGCCCATGCGTGTATCGTCTTGCGGACGTCGTTCCCCTCGTTCCCCGAGCTCCACACAGTGCCCATATGCTGACGGGCAATCTCCCTTCCTTCTTTCTTCCATTTCTCTCCTTCAATCCGACACTAACAACCATCCCAGACGCGCGCGCCTTCCTCAACGCCTCCTACCGCTCCCTCCTGCGCTCCTACATCCTCTCTCCCCTCCCGCCCTCCACGCCCATCCCCGGCTTCGCCTCCGCCCCCTTCGCCTCCGCCCACTCCCTCCCCGCGTCATCGCAGCCGACGACCCAGCAGGCCCCCGCCGCCGCGCTCGCCGCGCTCCTCGCCTCCCCGCGCGCGCCGCTCATCGACCTGAGCTACCTCGACGACGCGTCGGGCAGCGGGCTCCTGCACGAGGCCGCGCGGCGGCGCGATCTGCGGCTGCTGGAGCTGGGGGTGAGGGCGGGCGCGGATGTGTTTGGGAGGGATCGGCGGGGGCGGTTGCCCGGGCAGGGCGGGGGGCGGGAGGGGAAGGGGGACGAGAAGGTGAAGGCGTTTTTGAAGCAGTGTAAGTCCCTCTGTGTTCGTCGTTAGTAAGATGAGGAGAGAAGGCTGATGAGTGGGACAGTGACGAACCAGGACCCGTCGCTGATGCGGGCCGCGGCGGCGCCTGGGGAGCCGGCGGTGCAGCGGGGGTATCTGAACAAGTATACGAATGTGGCGAAGGGGTATAATACGCGGTGGTTTGTGCTCAAGGATGGGGTGCTGAGTTGTGAGTGGTTATCATTATGGAGGGGAAAGGAGCGAGGTGCAAGGACGACGTGTCAAAACCAGCGCGCTCCTTTCCTTTCGGTCTCCCCCGCTCCCGCATGCGCTGATTCCCTCCCCCAGACTACCGCCACCAGGAAGACGAGCAGTTCGCGTCGCGCGGGTCGATCGCGGTGCGGACGTGCGTGCTCAAGGCGCCGACGGGCAGCGACCGCCTGCGGTTCGAGGTGCACTCGGGGCACCGCGGCGGGGGCGCGACGGCGCAGAAGTGGTACCTGAAAGCGAGCCACCCGGGCGAGGCGGCGCGGTGGGTCGGCGCGATCCAGGGGAGCATCGCGTGGGTGAAGGCGCGCGCGGCGCAGGGGCACGAGACGGGCGGGAGCGAGGCGGAGGGCGTGGCGAGCGGGGCGGCGAGCATTGCGAGCAGCGCGGGGAGCGTGTCGGGGCGGCAGCGGCTTGTGAGCGTGCTGCGGAAGGCCCCGGGGAGCCTGCGGCATAATAGCATTGGCAAGGGGAGCGATATGGACTCGCTGGCGAGCGCGGCGGAGTATGCGCCTGAGCGGGAGCGGGAGAGTGGGGACGGGAACGGGAACGGGAGCCCAAAGCTCGGGGGCGAGTCAGATGCGGATGCGGAGGAGCGGGACGTGAATATGGCGCACAACGGCGGGGACGATGCGGATGCAGATGCAGAGGAGGAAGAGGAGGACGAGGACGAGGGGTTTGACGACTCCTCGGCCAACTCGTCGCAGTTCCGCGCGCGGGTCGAGGGCCCGCACGAGACGACGTTCGAGCTGCTGGGCAACACGGCGGCGGCGCAGCTGGAGCTGACGCTGGGGCTCGTGGGCGGCGCGGGGCCGGCGCAC